ACTAACTAACTAACTAACTAACTAACTAACTAACTAACTAACTAACTAACTAACTAACTAACTAACTAACTAACTAACTAACTAACTAACTACTAACTAACTAACTAACTAACTAACTAACTAACTAACTAACTAACTAACTAACTACTAACTAACTAACTAACTAACTAACTAACTAACTAACTAACTAACTAACTAACTAACTAACTAACTAACTAACTACTAACTAACTAACTAACTAACTAACTAACTACTAACTAACTAACTACTAACTAACTAACTAACTAACTAACTAACTAACTAACTACTAACTAACTAACTAACTAACTAACTAACTAACTAACTAACTAACTAACTAACTAACTAACTAACTAACTAACTAACTAACTAACTAACTACTAACTAACTAACTAACTAACTAACTAACTAACTAACTAACTAACTAACTAACTAACTAACTAACTAACTACTAACTAACTAACTAACTAACTAACTAACTAACTAACTAACTAACTAACTAACTAACTAACTAACTAACTAACTAACTAACTAACTAACTAACTAACTAACTAACTAACTAACTAACTAACTAACTAACTAACTACTAACTAACTAACTAACTAACTAACTAACTAACTACTAACTAACTAACTAACTACTAACTAACTAACTAACTAACTAACTACAACTAACTAACTACTAACTAACTAACTAACTAACTAACTAACTAACTACTAACTAACTAACTAACTAACTAACTAACTAACTAACTAACTAACTAACTAACTAACTAACTAACTACTAACTAACTACTAACTAACTAACTAACTACTAACTAACTAACTAACTAACTACTAACTAACTAACTAACTAACTACTAACTAACTAACTAACTAAACTAACTAACTAACTAACTAACTACTAACTACTAACTAACTACTAACTAACTAACTAACTAACTAACTAACTAACTAACTACTAACTAACTAACTAACACTAACTACTAACTAACTAACTAACTAACATGTAACAATCGCCTCAGAATCAGAAATTTGGCAACTACGCCTCTTCGGCTCAAGGACGAACTCTACTGAAAATGGTCAATTATATCACCAAGTCCCCATTAAACCGTACCTTTCAAATATGGCTTTGGAGAACAAAATTCTGTTAAATGAAAATGGTGAAATCTGAAATGGTGATATTATCCGTATATACTTTTTATTGAAACCAGTTGCTTTGTATTGAAAATGGACCGGATCGGTTCACATGTGGCCTACAGTAGTACATTTGAAACAGGCATAACAGGCTTTAAAATATAAATATAGTGATGAAATTCTATATAAGCAAATTATATATGAAATCTCTCTACTACATTTTACAAAGATCGGTTCACATTTGACATTAACCCCAATATAAGGCTTAGTAAGTGACTTAATAATGCCAATATTGCAATAAAATTTGACATAGCTGAGTTTTATATTAACCAAAATTATAATTAGCCCAATCCACATTTCTAATATACTCACAGATGTGGGGTTTCTTGTGGTCGGCAATGCCCGACTATGCAATCTTACTCGTAAAAAAATAACAATATTATTTTTTTGTTTTATATTTATTTATTTGTTTTATATATATATATATATATATTTCATTTATTTTTAAAACATTTAATAAATATTTACTAATCATTATACATAAAATACAATACAATAATTCATTTCTTGTTATAATTATTAAATATACGAATAAATACAAAAAATTATAATAAAAAATTTAATTAAAAAAATTATTAAATTGGAACTTAAACCATTTGTTTTGTGTTAAATGACTCCATGGGAGTGAATTTTATTTTTATTATATTTAATTTTTACAAATAAATTTTTATAAAACTATAAACTATATAAATAATACAAATATTAAAATAAACTCAATCATTAGTTTTTCACATACATTTTTATGGGGGAGTTTTTAAAAACGTTTAATATTTTTCGCTTTTTCTTACCAATTTATAAATTTTATTTTAAGGATTTTTTGTTGTTTTTATTTGTTAATACAAATTAAAAGGACACAATTTTTATTTGCACTAATTAACATTTAAAATGGTTTATTATATTTTTTAGGTTTAATGTTTTTAAAAATCAACTAACAATTTATTAGATTTTTTATTTTTATTTATTGTTTTTCAATTTTATTAATTTTAAAAACTACGTTAAAAAAATTTTTCTATTACTTGTTTTTTTTATTATTTGTTTATATGTATTTATTTGTTGCTGTTATATATTGTTTTATTTAATGAAAGAGATCATTGTTTTAAAAATCTACGAAAAATTTTTTATTATTTGTTTTTAAAAAAATTATTTGCGTTTATTTATTTTGCTATTTTGTTGCAATATTTGGTAAAATTCTTGTTAAATTTATTAATTTTTACTATGTTTAAAATGTGGCACCTTTTTTCAAAATTGTATTTTAAGTTCTATAGATTTGTTTTTTGTTTCATTGATCTGGCAAAAGTTTATTTAAAGAGAAGCGTTGAACACAATTATATGTTAAGCGACTTATATTGATCAAATTTGGTCTACCGTATAGACCAGACTATAGTCTAGTCATAAGTTTAGTTTTCAGTCTAGTCTAGTCTATCCTTTAGCCAAGTATCATTAGTCAAGGCTAGTTTTTAGTCTAGTTTAGCCTTTAGTCTAGTCTATCCTTTAGTCAAGTTTATTTCGCCAAGGCTTGCTTTTAGTCTAGTATATAATCTATAGTCTAGACTATAGACTGTATGTATCGTACTGTCTATAGTCTAGTTAATATTCTGGTCTATAGATTAGTCGATAGACTAGTCCAGCTTTTAGTCTAGTGTATAATCTATAGTCTAGACCAGAGTCTAATCTACAGTCTATTATATAGTCTTGTTAATATTTGAATAGTTGAAAGCCTACTAAAGTCTAATCTATAGTCTATCCTATAATCTAGCCTATGGTCTAAAATGAGGTCTAGTCGATAGTTTAAACTATAGTTTAGTCTATAGTCTCAACTATAGTCTAGTCCATACTCTAAACTATAGTCTAGTCCATACTCTAAACTATAGTCTAGTCTATTGTCTCAACTATAGTCTAGTCTATTGTCTAAACTATAGTCTAGTCCATAGTCTATATTCTAGTCTACTGGCTATAGTCTAGTCTATAGTCTAGTCTATAGTCTAGTCTTTAGTCCAGTCTATAGTCTAGTCTATAGTCTAGTCTATAGTTTAGTCTATAGTCTAGTCTATAGTCTGGTCTATAGTCTAGTCTATAGTCCGGTCTATAGTCTAGTCTATAGTCTAGTCTATAGTCTAGTCTATAGTCTAGTCTATAGTCTAGTCTATAGTCTAGTCTATAGTCTAGTCTATAGTCTAGTCTATAGTCTAGTCTATAGTCTAGTCTATAGTCTAGTCTATAGTCTAGTCTATAGACTAGTCTATAGTCTAGTCTATAGTCTAGTCTATAGTCTAGTCTATAGTCTAGTCTATAGTCTAGTCTATAGTCTAGTCTATAGACTAGTCTATAGTCTAGTCTATAGTCTAGTCTATAGTCTAGTCTATAGTATAGTCTATAGTCTAGTCTATAGTCTAGTCTATAGTCTAGTCTATAGTCTAGTCTATAGTCTAGTCTATAGTCTAGTCTATAGTCTAGTCTATAGTCTAGTCTATAGTCTAGTCTATAGTCTAGTCTATAGTCTAGTCTATAGTCTAGTCTATAGTCTAGTCTATAGTCTAGTCTATAGTCTAGTCTATAGTCTAGTCTATAGTCTAGTCTATAGTCTAGTTTATAGACTAGTCTATAGTCTAGTCTATAGTCTAGTCTATTGGCTAGTCTATAGTTTAGTCTATAGTCTAGTCTATAGTCTAATCTATAGTCTAGTCTATTGGCTAGTCTATAGTTTAGTCTATAGTCTAGTCTATAGTCTAGTCTATAGTCTAGTCTATAGTCTAGTCTATAGTCTAGTCTATAGTCTAGTCTATAGTCTAGTCTATAGTCTGGCCTATAGTCTAGTCTATAGTCTAGTCTATAGTCTAGTCTATAGTCTAGTCTATAGTCTAGTCTATAGTCTAGTCTATAGTCTAGTCTATAGTCTAGTCTATAGTCTAGTCTATAGTCTAGTCTATAGTCTAGTCTATAGTCTAGTCTATAGTCTAGTCTATAGTCTAGTCTATAGTCTAGTCTATAGTCTAGTCTATAGTCTAGTCTATAGTCTAGTCTATAGTCTAGTCTATAGTCTAGTCTATAGTCTAGTCTATAGTCTAGTCTATAGTCTAGTCTATAGTCTAGTCTATAGTCTAGTCTATAGTCTAGTCTATAGTCTAGTCTATAGTCTAGTCTATAGTCTAGTCTATAGTCTAGTCTATAGTCTAGTCTATAGTCTAGTCTATAGTCTAGTCTATAGTCTAGTCTATAGTCTAGTCTATAGTCTAGTCTATAGTCTAGTCTATAGTCTAGTCTATAGTCTAGTCTATAGTCTAGTCTATAGTCTAGTCTATAGTCTAGTCTATAGTCTAGTCTATAGTCTAGTCTATAGTCTAGTCTATAGTCTAGTCTATAGTCTAGTCTATAGTCTAGTCTATAGTCTAGTCTATAGTCTAGTCTATAGTCTAGTCTATAGTCTAGTCTATAGTCTAGTCTAGTCTAGTCTATAGTCTAGTCTATAGTCTAGTCTATAGTCTAGTCTATAGTCTAGTCTATAGTCTAGTCTATAGTCTAGTCTATAGTCTAGTCTATAGTCTAGTCTATAGTCTAGTCTATAGTCTAGTCTAGTCTAGTCTATAGTCTAGTCTATAGTCTAGTCTATAGTCTAGTCTATAGTCTAGTCTATAGTCTAGTCTATAGTCTAGTCTATAGTCTAGTCTATAGTCTAGTCTATAGTCTAGTCTATAGTCTAGTCTATAGTCTAGTCTATAGTCTAGTCTATAGTCTAGTCTATAGTCTAGTCTATAGTCTAGTCTATAGTCTAGTCTATAGTCTTGTCTATAGTCTAGTCTAGGTCTAGTCTTTAGTCTAGTATTTAATCTAGTATTTAGTCTAGTCTTTAATCTAGTCTCTAATCTGGTCTTTATTCTAGTCTAAGTATAGTCTAAAACATTAAAATTGTGTTCAGACGCCTACTCAAAATTCCAACACTTTTCCTTCAATCTATAGTATACAACATGATCTCTCAATTTTCTTCTCCGTCTTACCCGGCATTTCCTGCAAAGCCATCTCTACATGTTTGCGCGCCAGCCAAGATTGTTTTTGCAAACGATTTATAACAATACGATAAGCTCCGATAATATCACTACGTGGAGCATTTTGTGAGGCCTGCTGTAGCATTTCACTTGTTATGCCCAATTCTTCGAGAATTTGACGGGCCTCTGCCTCCAACGGTTGCACTTGACCTAGGTCGTCTGTAGGCGTGGGAAACATTATAAAATGACCATTTTCGGCATCATAGTTCTTAAAGAGAGGACAATCGGTCGCCAATACCGCATTCCATTGTGACTTGTGATTACTCAAAGAACCATTTGTTAGTTGTTTTTCTTTTTCAGTTGCCTCCATGGGTCCCACCTTTTTCTTGAGGGTACCACACAAAAACGATCTTTTGGGAGTATTATTTTTCGATTGTTCTTTGATGACTTCCAAGGGTATATCGTTCGCCGCCAATTCTATGGGCTGTAGGAAATTGTCAACAAAAAAACCATCTGTGCGTTTGGTATTCATATTAATGGGTGGTTTATTGGTTAATTCCATATAACGTTCCCTTAAAGAGTACTGTTTACGCATGCGTCGCGATTTGGAGCGTACCCAAAACCCTGAACGTTTAACCGGTTTGGAGCGTAAATTAATTTCGTGTTGCATTAAGTCGTTGCTTAATTTTGGATGGGTTACAAATTGGCTATTGAGCATATCATCAATGGTGGGTCTGCGGGCTGGGATATGGATTAATATGCGTTCTAATAGAAATAAGAAATGAACATTAAAGTAGAAGAGCTTTTTAAAGTTTTAATCATTTTGTCATTATTTTACTTACGTATTAGTCTTATACATGGCAGACTTAGTTGTCCCGGCAATAAATAGTCTCCCTTTAAGATGGCCGCCTTTAAGCCGGGTATTGTTGGTGCACGAAATGGCATATTGCCAACTACCATAAAGTAAAGCAGTATACCTAAAGCCCATACATCTACGGGAGCGCCAATATAATGATCATCGGAAAATAGTTCCGGTGCTGCGTAGGGCGGTGAACCACAAAATGTGTCCAGTTTTTGATTGGCACCTAGAAATGTTTATAAAAGAACTTTACTATGACATAATAAACTCTTGGATGAATAAAAGCTTTTACAAAAATGTTATCTTTTTTAATTTTCTTAAGGATCTTGAAAGTCCTTAATAAGTTTAATTACTTATTCATAGAGAAATGCACATAAGGCAGAAACTTGTAAAAAGCTTAATTGAAAATTATGCTTTGAAAAAAGCTTTACTTAAAGCTTCCTACAAATAAAAGCTCGTAAAAAGCTCAAGCTAAAATAAATGCTTTAAGAGCAAAAACATTAAGCTTTATGCAATAAGCTTTTTTTTCAAGCCCATATATATGATTACACCGTTAAATAACTAGTGTAGGGTGTATACAAAAATTAAAGAATTTTAAGCTTATTTTTTTCTTTATTATAAAAAAGCTTTTATTTTGTCATCAAATCTCAGACAAAAAAACATTCCACACAATTACGTAGCCACACATAAATCGACTATAAAATTTATGTGCATAAAATATTTTATGATTTTTCTTTTTTATGAACAACATTTCAAATTCATATTATTACACATTTTGCCCTCGAAAAAATTAACATTAACATTTAAGCAAATAGGGAAATTCCTAACAAAACTCATACTCACCATTAATTAATTGTGTGCTAAAACCAAAGTCAGCCAGCTTCAAACGATCCTCAGACAACAGTAATACATTCTCAGCCTTAATGTCACGATGAACGTAACCCAAACTGTGCTGTTAATATGAGAATTTAAATGAACAACAATAGCAACAACAATAAAATAAACAAATTAATAAACACTTTATGGTGGCGTAGACAAATATGTTGCATACAGTGGCTTCAAACTAAAAAGGAGACATCATCCTTAAATGTGTTTCTCCTCTTTTGAGTGATGCCTCTGTATGCCTTTCATATAACTCCAACCGTCACTAGGACAATAATAAACTGCTTGTTGCAAACATTTGAAAAGAAAAACAAAAAATTCCCATTCATACACTTACCATGTGTTTCACAGCCAATAACAATTGTTTGAATAGTGGAGCGGCATGTATTTCACGTAATGGACCACCTTGGGTGATATGATTATATAACTCACCACCACGTATCCATTCGGTGACTAGATAAACACGACCCAATGTTTCGACTACTTCGAAAAGCCTAAAGGGAAAAATAAAGTTAAAATAATAAAAGCACAAACAAAAATAGAAACACAGCAAAAAAGTTTAGGAAAAGAAAAACAAGTAGAGGCTGTAATAAATAAAACCGACACATACGCATAAAAATCTACACACGTGTGCTCTAAACGAAGGACAGATACTCATATGTACGAACGCACGTACATCTATACATATGGAGCATTTCCTGGGAGAAGTCTAAAATATGTTGGAGGATGTTATGGCAAAAAGCAAACAGGATGTTGCTAAATATGCTCGTTATTTTATGAACATATGTGAGAGCGTGGGTGTTTTCATGCGTGTGTGTATAGAAAATGCATAGTTTTATTTAGATATAAACAGTGGAGGACAGTAATCTAGATTAAACTAGAATATACTACAGAACAAACTATAGACTAGACTATAGACTAGACTATAGACTAGACTATAGACTAGACTATAGACTAGACTATAGACTAGACTATAGACTAGACTATAGACTAGACTATAGACTAGACTATAGACTAGACTATAGACTAGACTATAGACTAGACTATAGACTAGACTATAGACTAGACTATAGACTAGACTATAGACTAGACTATAGACTAGACTATAGACTAGACTATAGACTAGACTATAGACTAGACTATAGACTAGACTATAGACTAGACTATAGACTAGACTATAGACTAGACTATAGACTAGACTAGACTATAGACTAGACTATAGACTAGACTATAGACTAGACTATAGACTAGACTATAGACTAGACTATAGACTAGACTATAGACTAGACTATAGACTAGACTATAGACTAGCCTATAGACTAGACTATAGACTAGACTATAGACTAGACTATAGACTAGACTATAGACTAGACTATAGACTAGACTATAGACTAGACTATAGACTAGACTATAGACTAGACTAGACTATAGACTAGACTAGGCTATTCACTGCACTGTAGACCGGACATTAGATTAGATAATATAACAAATTCGATTTAGATTCTATTATTTCAGCCTCTACTGTTACAACCTTTAACAAATTTATGTATACATCTCTAAGTACCCAAGAGTATATGTGCTGGTAAAAAAAACAGAACGTACCTTAAAATATTAGGATGATGAACACATTCAAGTGTAGCAATTTCACTTGAAAGCATACGCAATGCTTTAGCATCTAAACCAGCACGGTCAACTACTTTGATGGCCACTTTGTCTGAAAATATACAAATATAAAATACATACATTTACATACATGTATATATATTTTTCATATTGTGGTTTTGATAGATAGCTATGTTACAATGCAAAGGTACAAAAATGAAAAGGCCATGAAGGTTAATATTTTGGTATATTATTATGTAGGGAAAATTGTCAAGTCAAATGTTAAAGTTGAATAAATAAAATTGTTGTCTATTTTTTGGGCATTGTTGAAAATAAAAGCACTTAGGCTCACCTCTGGTTAGCTGGTGTACAGCTAATTTGACTTTGGAGAAATTCCCACGTCCTATATCGCCGCAAAATCTGTAGAGTCCTATGCGTCGGCCAACGGTTACCTGTAATTGAAAAATAGTAATATTATTACTTAATTATAAATATTAAGATTTTTTTACGTAAATAGAGGAAGCAATACTAAATGAACATTCATTTATGAAATTATCAAAAACTTCCTAAAATTGAATAAACGCATTGAAAATTTATGTTGTTGCAACAAATATTAATTCAAGAAAATTCTCTTTCTCTTCAAGATTTTAAATTTCTGTACTGATTGGCAAACTTAATATTCGTAAACCGACCTACAGTGCGTATACGTATTATATTGAAAAAATAGTACTCATACGTACAGTGAGCTCAAGTGGTTTAATTACTCACTCAATGGAGAAGTTGTAATAAAACCCAAGGATTCGAAACCGAACTACAGTGCGTATACGTATTATATTGGAAAAATAGTACTCATACGTATAGTGAACCCAAGTGGTTTAATCGCAAATTGCAGGACTTGGATTGCGCTGTGGGCGCCATATTTATTCTAATCCAATTTACGCATTCCGTTTTTGCTCGTACTTCTGCCTGGAAGCTTGTGTTATGATTAGGTAAACGGTGGTATATTTCTGTTTCTGAGTCTTCAATATAGAACCCCAGGCCCACTTTATCCCCCAATTTAGAGCCATCCGTATAACAACGGATCCCTACTGGTATGTGCTCTAGTTTTTCGCTTGACCAAGACATTCTATCTGGGATCAGCGTTTCAAAGTTTCCGACATATTCTGTATCTGGTATACGATCAGGAACCTTCTAATGTGTCCAGTGTACATTGATGACGTGTTCTATAGCCGCTTTTGGCCAGTTCGCCTAAAGTAAGAAGCCGTTTGGCTGTAAGCGCCGCCTCATATCTTAAATATGTTTCAATGGGTGGACTATCTAGCAACGTTTCCAGAGTCTTGGTTGAAGTAGTACACATGGCACCACTTATACCCAAGCAGCATGTACGCTGAACTCCCTGTAGTTGTTTGATATTGCACTTTTTGTCTAAAGCAGTCCACCAGATTATTGAAGCATAAGCTAGAATTGGTCTAATTACACTTTTATAAAGCCAATTTGTCATAGTAGGACTAAGACCCCATTTCATGGCTATAGTTCACTTACATATCGCCCAGCACCGATGTGCCTTGTTGATCCTATTCTCTATGTGGTGTCTCCATTTTAACTTTCGGTCGAGGATTACACCTAAGTACTTAGCTTTGTTTGTTTTTTCAGAAAGTTTCCTATAAAATAGTGTCGTCATCTTTGCTGTATAATTTTTCTCCGTTTTTCTCCGAATTCTCTATGAAAACTTCTATCGAAAGGTATCTGTCTTTCTCAGAGATAATTTTCTTTAGAAAAATATATACGTCTGTTAATTTAACAGAAAATTTATAAGAAAACTCCAGCAATGTGACCTCGATATCATTCTTAAGATTTATTTTATGTATAATTTCCCCATAAATATATCTAAAAATAAATTAATCTATGCATAAATTCTACTCAAGTCTATTCCAATTATTTATGTCTATTTTTATTGAACTCATGTGTATTTTAAGTAATTGATTTGTTAATGTTAAAACCACAAAACAATATCTATTGTCAATATCTATTATCAAACACTAATGTTTTACGTACATACATCCTTCCTGTCAATATTACCTGTACAATTGACAATTAACTCAGCCACAAGAAACGTAAAAGAAAACCAACAACAATTCATTTCGTTTTCTTGTGCTATACTCACTTCCTTCCTGTCAATATATTTCGACAATTAAGTTGAACATTAAAAGCCACAAGATAAAAAAAAAAAAAACACAAACGAAAATCTACAATCTATAATAGTAGTAGTTGTAATTTTCAGCTAAAAACCACAAGGGATTGTAGCTGTGTATGTATATGTATGTGTGTGGGATACATGATAGATAAATAAAATTTGACAGATATTTTTCTATATTTTTTTTTTAGCTATAATAAAAATAAATCAACTGTAATGTATTATATTTCTGTAAAAATAATCATTAAATAAAAAAATAAGTTTTTAAAACATTTTTGTCAGATTGCCTTTTGAATATTTTAATAATATGTATAAATATTTAAAATTCAATCATTAAAATGTCATAAATTGAGAATAATATTATTGTATGAAAAGCTGCCTTTACTTTTAAACATATATATGTGTGTGTATACATATACAAATTTATTCGTTTGCATTCAACTGACATTTGAAGTAATTGTTGTATGTTTGTATTATTATAAACAATTATTTAAAATTGTTTATCATATTTCATGCAGCAGCTGAAGCAGATGCAATTGTAGTTATTGTATAAATATTTTATTCATTTTACAGTTATTCCCAATAAAATATGGTGAAACAGTTTGTATAACAAAGTAAAAATGTTATGACAGTATTATAGATAAAATGTCAGTCTTTTTCAGATAGAGAAAGATTCTGTCCTTTTTAAACAATTTTCTAAAGAACATTCTCAAACTGTTTTCTATGTTAAAGAATTTTTCTTTCTAAGACCAGATTGACAATAATCTGTATTACTTAGATAATTTTTTACAGATCAATCAGATTTCTTTTGAAAAATGTTTTTCTTTTTTATACAGACTATATTTTTCTATCCTACATTATTTTCTATAGAAAACTGTCTGTCTATATTTTTTTTATAGAAAACTGTCTGTCTATCCTAGACAATTTTCAATGGAAAACTGTTTGTCTATCCTACATCATTTTTAATGGAAAAAAAAGTCTGTCTATCCTAGATAATTTTCTATAGAAAACTGTCTTTCTATCCTACACGATTTACAATAGAAAACTGTCTGTCTATCCTACACAATTTTTAATAGAAAAATGTCTGTTTATCCTAGATAGTTTTTTATAGAAAACTGTCTGTCTATCTTACACAATTTACAAAAGAAAACTGTCTGTCTATTCTACATAATTTTTAATAGACAAATATCTGTCTATCCTACAAAATGTTCAATAGAAGACTGTCTGTCTATCCTTGATAACTTTAAATGTCTATCCTACACAATTTTCAATAAAAAACTGTTTGTATATCCTAGACAATTTTCTATAGAAAACTGTCTGTCTATTATACAAAATTTTTAATAGAAGACTGTGTGTCTATCTTTGACAATTTCTCTTAAAAAGCCGTCTGTCTATCCTACACATTTTTAAATAGAAAAAAGTCTGTCTATCTTAGACAATTTTCTATAGAAAACTGTCTGTTTATTCTACACCATTTTCAATGGGAAAAATCTGTCTATAATAGATAATTTTTTATAGAAAACTGTCTGTCTATCATAGACAATTTTTTATAGAAAAAAGTCTATCTAACTTAGATAATTTTATATAGAAAACTGTCTGTCTTTCCTACACAATTTTCAATAGAAAAATGTCTGTCTATCCTATACAATTTTCTATAGAAAACTGTCTGTCTTTCAAAAACAAATTTTCAACAGAAAACTATCTGTCTATCCCTGACAATTTCTCATAGAAAACCGTCTGTCTATCCTACACATTTTTAAATAAAAACTGTCTGTCTATCCTACACAATTTTCAATAAAAAACTATCTATATATCCTAGACAATTTTCTATAGAAAACCGTCTGTCTATCTATTCTATAGAAAATTGTCGGTCTATTCAACAAGTTTTCAATAAAAAACTCTCTGCATGTCCTTGACAATTTTCTATAGAAAACTGTCTGTTTTTCAAAAACAAATTTTCAACAGAAAACTGTCTGTCTATCCCTGAAAATTTCCCATAGAAAACCGTCTGTCTATCCTACACATTTTTCAATAAAAAACTGTCTGTCTATCCTAGACAATTTTTTATAGAAAACTGTCTGTCTATCCTATACAATTTTCAATAGAAAAAGTCTGTCTATCTTAGACAATTGTATATAGAAAACTGTTTGTCTATCCTAGATAATTTTCAATAGAAGTATGTCTGTCTACCCTAGACAATTTTCTATAGAATACTGTTTGTCTATCCTAGACAATTTTCAATAGAAAACTGTCTGTCTATCCTATTCTAGACAATTTTCTGTCTGTCTATCCTAGACAATTTTTGATAGAATAATGTCTGTCTGTCCCAGACAATTTTCTGTAGTTTGATTTTTCAGAAAACTGATTGACTTGCTAAGATAAACTGTATGCTATTATTAGAAAAATATCTAGAGAATACTGACTATCTTTCCTAAACAATTTTGTATTTAAACTGTCTGTCTTTCATATATAATTTCGATAGAAAATTTTCTATAAAAAACTAGCAGTCTTTCTCAGAAAACACTCTATCTTTCTCAGACAACTTTTTATAGAAAACTTTCTGTCTCAGTTAATATTTTATAGAAAAATTTATATCTGCTTCATATAATATTCTATTGAAAACTGTATGTCTTTCTCAGATAATGTTTAATAGAAAATTGTACGTCTTACTTAAACAATTTAAAGAATTGGTCATAATCACAGAAAATAATCTGATTATTGACTGAATATTTATTGGAATATTTTTTTCAGACAATAATCTGTCTTTCTTAGATAAGTTTTTTCGAAAACAGTCTTTGTTTCATAGAAAATTTTCTGAAGAAAAACGCTTTTATTTTATAGATAAATTTCTTTTGAAAAACTTTGAAATTGTCTGTATTTCTCTGTTAAGTTTTTGAAGAAAAATGTTTGTATATTACACTTAATCATTCTAGAGAAATGTTTATCTTTCACACAACTTTTCATAGAAAACTGGTATTGATATGACCATGCATATAAAATAAAATTTATAATTTCCCAAAATACGAGGGACTACTGTTTCGGATTTTATTTGAAATTATCTCCTTTTAAATGCATACTGCTGATTTGCCATAGACATAACTTTTGTTTCAACAAATAAGAGGTGTTTTTTATGCAAACCATAAATTTTGACGTTATTCAATCTCTATCGCTAAGGAAATGTAATTTTTCTCTTTAGGCACCTACAATATTTACACCTATTAAAAGAACACCCTTTACCTATATAAATATGCCTGTGAATGTGCCAGAAATAATATTATACAAATTTATTTATTTTTAATTATTAATTAAACACATTACCTTAAGTATAGTCTTGATGTCAATATTTGTTATGTAATAATTGTTGTCTTATTTACACTCATACATAACCAGTATAAGACAACAGTAAATGACATGAACGTTTTAAACAATATTAAATACTTAAAGTGATATACATTTAAGTTTTAATAATTGCATTTAAACATAGACAATGTTTAAATTATGTGATTATTTGTTGATTTAATTTTTTTTGTTAAGAACTTATTTATTTATTTTTGTGACTTTTCGATAACAGAGAATTATATAAGATACATTTTTGGTAATTAAGAGAATTATTCTCTATGAAAATATTTTTATTTCATACTAATTTAATATTAAAATACATATTTTTCAAATTTAATTATGAAAATGTTATACTATACGTATAAGTAATATTTTGCTAATTAAGAAGTATTATATTAAGTATACGTAATGTCGTGGATGTTGTATGCTATAGAAGTGGAAGTTTAGAAAACAAAACTACAGCCTATGTTTAGGCTGTATTCTCTGTATATCAACAGACAGTTAGGCAGACACGGCTACATCGCCTTTGAATCTAATAAGAATGCAAAATATATTCGATGTGTTACAAAATCAAAAACATTTTTCAATAACTAAAAACACTCTTAAGAAAAAACTTAACTCTTAAGCAACTTTTCTATGGAAAATTCTTTAAAGTAACTTTTTCTTATAGAAAACTTGATAAGATTCTTTTCTACTGTATAAAGAAGGAAACTTTTCCATATAAAAATCCTGTACAGAGGACAATAAAGAAGAAAACGTCCATATAAATCAATCTAAAGAAGAAACTTTTCTATAAAATACTGAGGAATTCTGAGTTGTATTCGTGAGATGTCAGAGTGACGAATGAAGTAACAGTTAAAGTGGCGGTGGAGTTTGTTGAGACGTTGGCGGAGGTGTTAATACCTTAATCTTAAATTTATCGGCGATTTTCCTTCATGGTTCAGTGTATTGGTGTTTACTCTAAAACTCTAAGTCTTGTCATTTGAAAATGGATCTGCGTTTCGGACTTCCAATTTGTTGTCTCTAGTTGCTGATGCCGAAACAACAGATCCATCTCAGCAGTGTGGGTAACTTTGGGTAACTTTAACAGGTCTCAAGGAATGCCTTGGGGTGAGTCTTTAGATGATGAGAATGCTAGTAGGGACAAGGTATTCTTCATAGCATCAATAGGGCGTTTTCATCTGATGTTGGGTCCGCCCTTTTTTGGGGGTTTGATTGAGCTTGACCTATGATACCTCTTATTCCTCATCAGGGCTACTATGACAAGAGATTGGATTGCTCGAGTACTTGATTAAAGTGCCTGTACATGGACCGGCAGAACCATGTACAAAAATTGCCACCTGCATGTAAGAAACACAAAGAGGCGAGGTGAGTCGTCAAAAAAGCTTACCTATTGGTTGAAAAAGACCACCGTGAAATAAGGACAACACGGTAGTTGTTCACGTAAAGCACTACGACATACGTGTCTGTAGTAGGTTATGTTCTATAGAAAACTGTCGAAAGAAGAAACTTTTCCATATAAAACTCCTGTACTGAGGACGTTTCTTTATAGAAAGCTACAACAAAATTGTGTTTTTATAAAAAACTGTCTAAAGAAGAAAATACCTATAGATATCTGCCTAAAGAAGAAAATTTTCTATTAAAAACAATTAAGAATGTATATGTCGGGCTTGGCCGATCATAAGATACCCCATAGCGATTACGATGACTATTGTTTAAAGGTGAATTTTCCCCTCTAACTAATTTTCTGAAGTGAACTTTGTATGGCTGCTAGGGTCAAATGAGGCCCGATCATTACGAAAATAGGCAGTATCGTTTAAATGTATATAAAACCTATTTGGGGGGTACGGTTGTATGGGGCCTAGGCGAAATAATGAACCGATTTCAACCATTTTCAATAGAAGAGTATGTGCCAAATTTCATCAAATTATATTGAAAATTGCTACCGGTAGCATACGCATAAGGTTTACATGGACACACAGACGGACAAATAGATGGACGGACATAGCTTAATCGACTTAGAAAGTGATTCCGATTGATATACTTAAAGGTTGGTGTAGGACCAATATTTTTTGTTATTACAAACACCAGCACACCACTATATTGGTGTATGTAAGAACAGTGTACTGTAGGAAATCATATAAAGAAGAAACTAAAGAAACATGACTATTAACTTTGGGTTAATACGAGGATGTATCTACATCAAATCCAATATCGGGCTTTAGTCCTCCTCTTTTCATGTAAAATGTTTGTTGCTTAAAACAAAAACCTTATATAGTATTAATCGAATGTGTTATCATCCGATGTGAAGAAACTCAATATCCTGAACGTAATCCCAAGAATTTTCCAATCAGTATTCGTGAGAGATGTAATATTCAGAATAATATCACTGCCAAGATATTTAGATCTAAATAAGAAAGCCTGTTAATGACTACGAAAGTGTTCCAGAGTTTCACTATTCTCTCCGCATGCTCTTGGTTCGTCCGAATTCGCTCGTCCAATTTTGTATAGTTAGTTATTTGTTTTAATATTTCGCTTGACCATGATTTTCTATTAGGTTCCGATAGGTGTTTCAATCTTCCGACATATTCTGCGTTTGGTATGTGATCGAGCACGCCCAATGTTTGAATATAGCCTTCCAATGTGTCCAATATATATTAATAACATGTTCTATAACTGGTTTTTCTTAAAGCTAAGATTCGTTCGACTGTAAGTTGCCACCTTATTTTTGGGATGAGATATCTAGCAACGTTTCCAGAGACTTGACACATATACCTAAGCATGTTTCCTTGATGAAGACCCAATCTAGGTGTATTGCAATCCCTGGCTAAAGAGGTGCAACTAGTACCTCTAGTCTACCGGGAGTATAAACTGGTCTTTCCATATAATCTGGTACTACAGTTGGCCAGTTGCCCGCAGAACTTGTCCTGGATGGTCAATTGGTTGAGGTTTTTTTGGGAACCACGTAGTGGCTGTAGTTTAAACTCAAATTCGCGGGACCGGCACAGCCACGTACAAAAATTGCCACCTGCGTGTAAGGTACACAATGGGGCGGTGGTGAGTCATCACAGAAGCTGACCCAGTGGGTGAAAAAGATCACTATGAAATAGGCCAATACGGTAGGTGCTCACGTAAAGCACTTCGACATTCATGCCCAAGCAGCATCTACGCTAAACTTCCTGTAGAAGTTTGATATTAAACTTTTTTAAACGATCTAATCACACTTTAATAAAGTTAATGTATCATAAATAGTAGACCTAATTTCATGCCTTTGGTTCTTCTGCATAGCATCCAGCACTTATATCATTCATCTACTACATTTTAATTTCCGGTTAAGGATTACATCTAAATACATAACTCTGTCGGTTATAGGTATCTTTTTGCCCAGGAAACAGTATAAATTTTTGTCTTATTTGTAAAAACACAAATTTCATTTTGTAGTAAAATTTCCTTAAAAGACATTTTTATATATTTCAATTAGAAAACCGCTTCTTAATGTAATTAACAGCTCTTTGACGGTGTGTATTCTAATGACAACTGACAACAACCCACCTTATGTTGCTCTAAACCGTTTCTACTAACAAAAAGGTGTTACTTAACTAACCAAAATTATTTATTTAATATTTTTCTATTAAATAGCTAAACATTTTGTTTTTTATATTATATCTACACTAAAAGGATAATTGATTTGACCATAACGCCAAAATAAACTAAAAAAAAAAATTCTAAGAAAAGAAAAGGGTTGATGACTTAACACTAATAGCTGGAAAAAAAAACATAAAATACCACAGAAAACTAAAAACAAAATGTAAATAAAACTGCACACAAAACACTTAAAATAAGAAACCAGCAAAAAAAGAATAAATAAAAAAACTGCTCTAAACCTTGAACTACAACCACAAGTATACAGTGAACTGTATACAAATTAAAGTTTATAGAAAATAAATAAAAAACAACAACAAATAAAAAAAAACTAAATGAAAAGTAAATAAATAATAAAACAAAATGTTCTTTACCTCGTGTCCGCATCTTGGATCGCATTGTAGAGCTTTGGTAAGCCGCTGATAAGGCGGTGTTGTATTGGCACACTTTGGCACTGACGCTGGCTCTAGAAAATCACCGTGGGTATCCACGACTGCGACTGTTTTTATAATAATGGTTTTTAGTTGAATTTAAATTATTTAGTTTTAAAATTTAAATTTTTGAACAGTTTTTTTTTCTTGAACTTTAACTATTTATTTTTGGTTTTGTAGATTTCTTTTATAATTTTTCGCATTAAAAAAAACAACAAAATTGCTCAATAGTTATTATGAATACATGTATGTGCTGTTTGTTTGTTTGTTGATTTCCGTTTTCCTGTTATGTACGCCTTAAGGTAGACTATATGATAAATTTAAATGTTTTTCTCTGTTGGGTTTTTTTTTTGTTATAATCACACACTTGTGTTATGTTTGTATTCATACATTTCTACACACACACACATAGAATTTATACACTAAACAATAACAAAACTTTCATACATTTTTATTATGCTCTGTTGTTGTTGTTTTCTTGTTTTTTTCTTTTGTTTGAGTGTTAGTTTGTTTTTCACCAACAAGGTGTTGGCTGGTTTTTATTGCTTCTCTGTTATTTTTTGTTTTTGTTGCCTTAACTGTTGTTATTGTTGTCAATGTTGTTTTATGTTTTTAGATTTTCTGCATATTTTTTTTTTCCAAAAGACTTTTTATTGTTTTTATGTCTTCATTTAATGGCTCTGCAAAGAGAAATAAAAAAAAATTACATTATTTCACAAATAAAGTCATTACATTATTTTGTTTTCTTTTTTTCTCTCTTAATTTCTTGTTATACTTAATCTCTAGTTTTTTCATAAATCCTCTATTAAATTTATTACATGTCATATAAAGTTATTAAAAACTTAAATCTTAAGGGTAAATAATACTAAAAGCTCTAAACAATTTTATACATTACAGTTTGAAAACATTAAATTGTATATTTTTTAAAGAAAATATATAAAAATTATGACTTTTTCATAAAATTGTTTATGAAAGAGAGACTTTTCTATAAAACTGCCTTAAATAAAATAAATCATGTTTATGAAAATAATAAATCGGATAGTTTTTTATAGAAAAGTGTTTTAAAAAGGATATATCTTTATATAAAAATGTCATAAAAATATAAAAAAAATAAATAAACTGTTTTAGCAGGATTCAGAAAAATATTTTTAGAAATAACTATTTAAAAAAACTTTCGCAGATAATTGCTTTTAAAAGAAACCCTTCAACTTAAAACACTTTTATAGAAAACCGTTTTACAATGAAACATTTATTTTAAATATTTTTCCCTGGGTCGAAAGAAGTTAACGTGCAAATTTCATCAAATTATCTCGAAAATTGAGACCTGTAGCGTGCGCACATGGTTTACGTGGACACAGACGGACAGACAGACGGACGGACAGACGAACATAGCTTAATCGAAAGTTATTCTGAGCCGATCGGTATACTTTAAGGTGGGTGTGAATCCAATATTCTTGGATGTTACAAACATCAGCACAAACGCATAATACCCTCCCTACTATAGTGGTGTAGGGTATAAAAATATTTAAACTGAATATAGAAAACTGGTTTAAGAAGCAAATTTCTATAGAAAGTGAGTATAAAACAGCATTCTGTTAGAAACAACCTACGGACAATAGTTAGTTAGTTAGTTAGTAGTTAGTTAGTTAGTTAGTTAGTTAGTAGTTAGTTAGTTAGTTAGTTAGTGTTAGTAGTTAGTTAGTTAGTAGTTAGTTAGTTAGTTAGTTAGTTAGTTAGTTAGTTAGTTAGTTAGTTAGTTAGTTAGTTAGTTAGTTAGTTAGTTAGTAGTTAGTTAGTTAGTTAGTTAGTTAGTTAGTTAGTTAGTAGTTAGTAGTTAGTTAGTTAGTTAGTTAGTTAGTTAGTTAGTTAGTTAGTTAGTTAGTTAGTTAGTTAGTTAGTTAGTTAGTTAGTTAGTTAGTTAGTTAGTTAGTTAGTTAGTTAGTTAGTAGTTAGTTAGTTAGTTAGTTAGTAGTTAGTTAGTTAGTTCGTTAGTTAGTTAGTTAGTTAGTTAGTTAGTTAGTTAGTTAAGTGTTAGTTAGTAGTTAGTAGTTAGTAGTTAGTTAGGTAGTTAGTTAGTAGTTAGTTAGTTAGTTAGTTAGTTAGTTAGTTAGTTAGTTAGTTAGTTAGTTAGGTCGTAGTAGTAGGTAGTTAGTTAGTTAGTAGTTAGTTAGTTAGTAGTAGTTAGTAGTTAGTTAGTTAGTTAGTTAGTTAGTTAGTTAGTTAGTTAGTTAGTTAGTTAGTAGTTAGTTAGTAGTTAGTTAGTAGTTAGTTAGTAGTTAGTTAGTTAGTTAGTTAGTGTAGTTAGTTAGTTAGTTAGTTAGTAGTTAGTTAGTTAGTTAGTTAGTTAGTTAGTTAGTTAGTGTAGTTAGTTAGTTAGTTAGTTAGTAGTAGTTTTAGTTAGTTAGTAGTAGTAGTTAGTTAGTTAGTTAGTTAGTTAGTTAGTTAGTTAGTTAGTTAGTTAGTAGTTAGTTAGTTAGTTAGTTAGTTAGTTAGTTAGGTAGTTAGTTAGTTAGTAGTAAGTTAAGTTAGTAGTAGTTAGTTAGTTAGTTAGTTAGTTAGTAGGTAGTTCGTTCGTTAGTTAGTTAGTTAGTAGTTAGTTAGTTAGTTAGTCAGTTATGGAAGACATGCATTTACTTACACAATGCCTTTTAGAAAATACCTTAGAAAATACCTTATAAGGAGGCCTATTCATAGGGAAACTATGGAAGCACTCTTTTCGACCAAAAAATGCGTTAAGTAAAAACTGTCAAAATAAATGTTCAGATGTATATAAAACTACCTTAAAATATTATAACATCTCTGCAACACCTTCAGTTAATACATTAGTGTTAGTTTATATATTTCACCATATTTGTGGCTATTACACAGATAAATTCTATTTAATACACCTATGTACATCTACATATCCATACCCGTCAAAAATACACATTCACCACAGCACAGCAGCAGTGTATGTATAATAAAATTACGTTTATAATCCCTATTATTGTTTAATTTATGGATGTGCAAAAAAGATTGTGTATAAAATTACGTTTAATTATTCATAATCTTGTATCATAAAAACTAATATAAATCATGTAAAATATTTAAGTGGCATAATTTGGTTTTAAGCTACTTCTAAGAAATAATATAATGGAAATTACAAAAATTAAATTTAGTAGGTAAAAAGTGTAGGTAACATTTAAACATTTAGAATAGGAGTAGACAATTAGCTACTTTTGTGTAAAACAATTTCTGTGTTCGGGCAGATTGCTAAGAATGTTTACTATAGAAAATGTATTTTATTTAGACAGTTGCCTATAAAATTTTTATAAAGTTTGTTGATTCGAAGAAATTTTTCATACAGAACTATGTTCAAAAAAATTTTGCATTGAAAATTGCCTCTGCAAATAAAACAATTTTTTTTATTTCTCTTAAACAAATTTCTTTTATAGATTCTTTTTATGCTCGAACAAATACATAATTAATCCTCCATCTTGCAAAATTTCCTTTAAATAAATATTTGAATTAACATAAATTTGCTCATTTACTCTAATTACAATTAACTACTAGAGCATAATTCTTAAACTTGTAGAAAGCAAATTTATTGATTAACGCCACAGCTCATTACTGGAAATAGAAGACAAGTAAAGAAAAACAAAACTTTTAATGAAATCCTTATTACTTGTATTTAATTTCCCAAATCAATTAGATAATAAAACTCGCAACCAAAACAGCAAACTTAATTATTAGCAAAATATTTTTCTATTTCGTTTCCGTTTCCATCTCCTTTATACTTTACACAAATCTTATGCAATTCAATAAATCTCCGAAAAAACTTGAAGAAGAAAAAAGTGCAAATGAAAAAATTATCAACTACATTTAAGATAAGACTAAAGGACCCCGAGTACTGAGTGTCAGGAATTAAAAAGGAAACGAGTAAAAACACAAAGTGGTATTACTCGCAAGATGAGCGAAATGGCAAAAAGAATTCCCAAAGTACTTAAAGAATTAAAAAAGAAAAATAAAGAAGAAATAAAGAAATGAGCAAGATACAATATACAGGACGATAGATAGACAAATAACTTAAACAACAAACTAAGTAACCGTACGAGCAGTTAAGTACTGACATAAGGTCTTAAGAGTGAGATCTAAATGAATTAGTTCTTAAAATATTTTGTTTATAGTAGGTAACTATTTAACTAAGTAAGTAAGTAACTAACTACTAACTAACTAACTAACTAACTAACTAACTAACTAACTAACTAACTAACTACTAACTACTAACTAACTAACTAACTAACTAACTAACTAACTAACTAACTAACTAACTAACTAACTAACTAACTACTAACTAACTAACTAACTAACTACTAACTAACTAACTAACTAACTAACTAACTACTAACTAACTAACTAACTACTAACTAACTAACTAACTAACTAACTAACTAACTACTAACTAACTAACTACTAACTAACTAACTAACTAACTAACTAACTAACTAACTACTAACTAACTAACTAACTAACTAACTAACTAACTAACTAACTAACTAACTAACTAACTAACTAACTACTACTAACTAACTACTAACTAACTAACTAACTAACTAACTAACTAACTAACTAACTAACTAACTAACTAACTAACTAACTACTAACTAACTAACTAACTAACTACTAACTAACTACTAACTAACTAACTAACTAACTAACTACTAACTAACTAACTAACTAACTAACTAACTACTAACTAACTAACTAACTAACTAACTAACTAACTAACTAACGAACTAACTAACTAACTAACTAACTACTAACTAACTAACTAACTAACTAACTAACTAACTAACTACTAACTAACTAACTAACTAACTAACTAACTAACTAACGAACTAACTAACTACTAACTAACTAACTAACTAACTAACTAACTAACTAACTAACTAACTAACTAACTAACTAACTAACTACTAACTAACTAACTAACTACTAACTAACTAACTAACTAACTAACTAACTAACTAACTAACTAACTAACTAACTAACGAACTAACTAACTAACTAACTAACTAACTAACTAACTAACTAACTAACTAACTAACTAACTAACTAACTAACTAACTAACTAACTAACTAACTAACTAACTAACTAACTAACTAACTAACTAACTAACTAACTAACTAACTAACTAACTAACTAACTAACTAACTAACTAACTAACTAACTAACTAACTAACTAACTAACTAACTAACTAACTAACTAACTAACTAACTAACTAACTAACTAACTAACTAACTAACTAACTAACTAACTAACTAACTAACTAACTAACTAACTAACTAACTAACTAACTAACTACTAACTAACTAACTAACTAACTAACTAACTAACTAACTAACTAACTAACTACTAACTAACTAACTAACTAACTAACTAACTAACTAACTAACTACTAACTAACTAACTAACTAACTAACTAACTAACTAACTAACTAACTAACTAACTAACTAACTAACTAACTAACTAACTAACTAACTACTAACTAACTAACTAACTAACTAACTAACTAACTAACTAACTAACTAACTAACTAACTAACTAACTAACTAACTAACTAACTAACTAACTAACTAACTAACTAACTAACTAACTAACTAACTAACTAACTAACTAACTAACTAACTACTACTAA